CAGGGACAAAGCTTAAGGTCAAATTCAGGACCGGGGACATAGGCCTTCGCGAACGTCGACGAAGACATAGGACGGTAGACGACGAAGACGACAAGTTCAAATGTGATTGCGGCTTCGAATGCGAAGACAGTGTTCATGTAGTCGCGGAATGTCCGTGGTACGAAAAGGAGAGGGAAGTGTACATGACTGAGCTGGGAAGAATACAAGGGACGTACAGGGAGATGTTTGAGGCATGGAATAGAGAGGAGAGGACGGTAGCGGTACTGGGGAGTAGAAAGTGGTTTGAAAAGGCGGGAAGTGACATCGGTAGGATAGACAAACTAGGGAAGACATTTTTGAGCCACCTTTGGCAAAGTAGGAAGGAACGATTGGCCATCGGTGATCGGTCCTGTGGGAACAATGCTCCGTCCTCTCGAGGACGCGTGGTCAATGGTCTAACCGCTAAGGCATGCAAAGCATAAGAGTACGCCCCCCCCCCGCCCCCCCCTCGGTGTTTGCCATCGGGATTGGGTTTTTGTCGCTTGGCAGCGATGTTGTAAAACAAGCCGGTCACTTCGTGAACTCGGCAACCAGGTTGCCGATTTGTTTTTTGCGTTTTTTTTTTTTGCGGTACCCATGAATGGTTGTCGAGTAAATCATGTTGTGCGGGGTCGAGAACCCTCACTCTGCGCAAGGGGGATGATCGCACCACGTTGTGTTAAATTGGTCAAGCTTCCTCGAGGCAGTTACACAGTGCTTATAACTGTCTCTGGAAGTGATACCACCAGAAAATAAATTAAGTCATACGCAGCTGTCATCCGTACGCAAGGAAGTAAGCACAAGATGCCGAACACCCTTAGCAGGATGCAGCGCACCCTTCATGCGACTCGCCGAATACCTCACGGCGTTTCGCGCTTGGTGATGTAAGAGCCTGGTCCGGTGAGAGCCCGGCGTGCTCCGCCCCGGCTTTGTAGGGATGCGAGGTCAATGGTCTAACGACTACGGCATGCACGACTATGAGTACACCCCCCCCCCCCGGACTCGGGAGTCACAGTTGCAGAGGTTGCAGGAAGTGCGTGCAGGCGCCGGTTGTGACGATCGTATCACCATCGAACCTAATCAACACCAACACCCCAATGTTTGTTCCCTTTCTCCGGTGTCCCATCGCGTACCAGCCCGCCACGATCGCCATGGCGCTTGGCGCAATCCAGTCCGAGACGATCGAATACCTCGACTTTGCCAACAGCGGCCTGGACAACCCAGCGGCGTTGGCGGCGATGGTGACCTTCCTCGAGCGCGGCGGTTCTTCCCTCATCTCCGTCAACTTTTCCCGCAACGACCTCGGATCGGGCAAGGCCCTCAAGGTACGCGCTGCGCGTCCTCGTCTTTGGTCCTCGGTCGTGCGTATTGGCGTGGCAATATTGCTTGTTTTGTACTGGCATCCCGTATTTCTGGTTCCAAGCATGATCCACGCGGCCGGCGCGAAATCGGTTCGGGAACGAAGGACGATGACAAACTATTGTAAAAACCAAATAAAGGCGGAGACAGCAGAGCGCGACACATTTGGTACAGGTTCTCGTTTCTGTGATTGGCACGTTAAATGTCGGAAACGTCTTACGAATCTACTATCTTTGGCCCAGCTCGGGTTAAGCTTTGAGCGGGTACAGAACCGGCTTGCTTCTTGTATACTTTGAGGGGAAACCGATCGTGATTATTCATGATTCCGGTTTTTTTTATTTATCAGCTAAACCGTTTGTGTTTTGTGATACAGATAGACATAAATGCCTAGAGCGGTTAGGTTCTTCAGGTTCTGCGCATTGCGCGTCCCGAAGAGAGACACCGAGAGAAACGCGCCGTTGGTTTTGCGCTTGTTTATCTCCCCCCCCCGTCTCTGGAAGTGATACCACCAGAAAATAAATTAAGTCATACGCAGCTCCCCACTCGGCCTTGTTTGCCATCGGGGTTTGGGTTTTCGTCGCTTGGCAACGACGTTGTAAAACAAGCCGCCCCCCCCGGTGTTTGCCATCGGGGTTGGGTTTTCGTCGCTTGGCAACGACGTTGTAAAACAAGCCCCCCACTCGGTGTTTGCCATCGGGATCGGGTTTTCGTCGCTTGGCAACGACGTTGTAAAAGAAGCCAATTCACTTCGTGAACTCGGCAACCAGGTTACCGTTTTTTTTTTTTTACCTCGGTTTTTTTTTTTGGCGGTAACCAAAATGGTGGTCGAGTAGATCATGTTGTGCGGGGTCGAGAACCCTCACTCCGCGCAACGGGGGATGATCGCACCGCGTTGTGTTAAAATGGTCAAGCTTCCTCGAGGCAGTTACACAGTGCTTACAACTGTCTGTGGAAGTGAAAGCACCAGAAAATAAACTAAGTCATACGTAGCTGTCATCCGTACGCAAGGAAGTAAGCCAAGATGCCGAACACCCTTAGCAGGATGCAGCGCACCCTTCATGCGACTCGCCAAATACCTCACGGCGCTTCGCGCTTGGTGATGTGAGAGCCTGGTCCGGTGAGAACCCGGCGTGCTCCGTCCCGGCCTTGTAGGGATGCGAGGTCAATGGTCAAACGACTACGGCATGCACGACTATGAGTACACCCCCCCCCCCCCCCCTTCCGTTCGTTTCTTAATCAAACACCTGTGCGGCTGGTAGTATCGGCCCGTGTATTTTTCTCCGTGCCGTCCTCCCCTACGGAGCACAACCTCCGATCGAGGACTGGCCACCAAGAAACACTCCTGTCCCCGGGGGATCCGCGCTGGTTGTTGGTGTGCATGGCCTCGGGTGAAGGGGACGCAGGCGAGAACAGCGGTCTGCGTCTCGGTCCGTGTGTCCGTCCTCTTTGTTAATTCCGGTGCCTCTCGTTTCACACGGCTTCGTGTACTCGCGCTCGTCCCTCTCTGTTTGCCCCCCCCCGAAATCTAGCTTGTCGAGGCGTTGGCCGGTGCTCACGACATGCGAAACTTGGACCTGTGCTCCACGAATATCGAAGAGCCCGAGGCCATCGACCTGGTGGCGGAGTTGGTAAAGAACAACAATAACAGCATGGAGGTCAGTAAACCACAAGCTATGAAAACCATATAGTAAGCCCCTCCCCCGAGACAACGTTCTATTTGTGGACGCGGTGTCAGAAAGGCGTCGGTGTTGTCTTGGCTTACGGGATAGCACGATAGCACCTGTTGTTCAATAAATCCACCCGGCGAGCCCATGATAGGTGCAGGGCACTCGCCCGCTCATCCTTTTGGGTGACAGGTTCGGTTCGAGTGGCGGGGGAGTGGCGGGGGGGGGAAAGATGGCCAGTCGCCGTAGAGATTATTGCAGCAAGACTAAAGACTCAAAAGCGACGGCGTGCTACATCTGGTGTTCGTATGCGTTTCTAGGGTTAGCATCGACCGCGCAAACCGGCTGACAAATGAGAAGACGTCAGTCTTCTAGCGGGAAAAAAAACGAGAACACCCTTCCGGATCATAGGGCTGGCTCTACCGACGTCGCGTGTGGGTGTGTTCCGTTACCACCCGGAACCCGCGTGGGGAGAAGGGGCGTGCATGTACGCGCGCATATTGTGCGGCTCGTGGACAGTTCATTTCGTCCTCGGCGTTTGGGTTGGGTCGTGTTCGATATTCTCTCGTCCGATGTATGCGTATCGACATGAATACGTGCGTGATATGATGGCAAGCCAACCTCAAGTTTCAAGGAGTATTTTAGTACTTGTCGGATCGACTCGCGAGATGTGTACGGGACAAAACACACTCCAGTCTTGTACTCCTTACACTGCACTGCACCGCACGCCATAAGAAACGGTCCCGAGCCAGGCATTTAGACATAGCAAACAAAATACGATAGGCTCAATGTGGGCCCGGTTATCGCATTTGGCGGCCAAACGTATGAACTTTAACTTTCCCAAATAGCCGTGCTTGGGGGTGAGGGCGACAACTACAACATTACAAACAGCATAATGACCCTACTCCTAGCTGCAGTTGTGCGTGGCTCGCGAACACCCCCGCGGTCTACTTTGATACACCCCGTCGTGATCCGATTCAATAATTTCTGCCCAGAACTGGAGGGGGCGTCTCTTGCGCAATGTTTCATTCCCGTTCCCAGTGCCCTCCCCAACTAACCCCCAGAATGGTTCCCCCGGATGTTGGTGTTGTTCGTACTACAATCGCAGAGCCTTAGACTCGTGGGCAACAGCCTCCCCCCTCTGTTCGGCGGGTCTTCGGGAGACAAGGTAAGAATCTTACAGCAAGCGCATCATACATTTAAAAGGCAAGCGCACCATACAATTGCAGCACTCATCCCATCTGTTGTGGACTCGAATGTTTCACCTTACGGTATGAAAAAGGGCGCACCAGCCAGGGTCGCACAGGAGGAAGGTCACACCAAGGCGTTTTTTTTTGGTCGCGCGGTTGCCGAGTAAAGGATCTCGTGAGGTCGTGTGTGCAAGAGGCTTGAAGCCGACGAAAGCCTCGTACCTAGATGGCCTTTAGCACGGGCTTTGTCAAGTGTGTTAAAAGAGAGAGACAAGATTCAAACTCTGTCTGCAACTCGTGCGCACGACAAGAGCGAAAAGGTGGTGCGATTGACGTCTGATGCACTCAAGCAAAGCACGTGGTGCGATCTTACGGTCGGTCACGGCGTATCCGCCAATGGTGCGTTGCGACATGGCTTACACTGCTCGTCAACCTCGGTGAGGAACGTGTGCACACAGACTATGGCACGAGGACGAAGAGTTCACAGAGGACAAGATGCAGCGTTAGAAAACAGGTAGTTGTTCGGTCGGAGGAGATACCGGAAGGAAAACAGAGTGGGGGGATGGGGGCCGCCCGGGGACTGTACCATCTGAGCGTACCGGTGGAAACCCGCTTGACATGTATCCCAACGTGCCAACCAATCAGAAAAGAAGACCCCCTTGGGCACAGATCCGACTGACTTAAACTCGTGCGTTTACAAAATGTACTCAAGACAGGTTGGCCAAAGATGCGCTACTGTTTGCATCAACTACAGTCGCCCGTAACAAATGATTCCGGCGACGTATGCATACGTACGTGCGTATTACGACCCAACAAGCTGGGACACTCACAATAGCAGCTGCCGAAGATAGGAATATCAAGAATAAAATACCAAAGTTTGATAGAAAGAACCTTCTTCTAGAAAAGCATGAGACCTAGACGGGTAAGTAACCACATGGACTTACCAATTCAGCACAATCGGCGTGCACAGCAGTATTCCAAACACAGAATGCCCGCCTGCACTGCTGCGTGTCTTGGCATACAGGTGTAGCGACATGTCCGTATCGCTGTTACCTAGTCATCTCATGTATAATGCGATATAAAAAGTATCCAAGTTAGTCTGCTCCATTCAAGGACACGCAAACTTGTGTACTTTAATTGCCGCCTCCCTCGGGCACGAGTTTTCGACTAAAGCAGAGCTTCATCAAGAAAGAAGCGTCCTGTTGCTGTGGGTATAGCAGCAGTAGGAGCAACAGCAGTTTGCACAGCAGCCGTGGTGACAGCGGATTTTTTTATGTAGTCGTGTTCGACTGCGCTTGGGCGCGCTTGGTCTTGACCGGACAGGCTCCTGGCGGCAGCGTGTTATTGGACCTCCAATGTAGCACCTTTTGCATCTTGTACCTTTACCGATTTCGCAGACGCTCGCTTCCGACGGTGTCGTGTTGTATTTGTGCATGTAGAACATGTGGTTTGGCTATGATTACCAAAGACCCAACCATTCTGATATCTCCCTTCCATCACTACCGTAGGCGGCAACGCTGATACAACCACTCGTTCTTTCCATCAGACCCTTGAACGCCCCCCCCATGTAGCCCGGTCCGCTGAGAATCCGACTTGCTCCGTCCCGGCGTTGTAGGGATGCGAGGTCAATGGTCTAACGACTACGGCATGCGCGACTATGAGTACACCCCCCCCTCCGCCCTCCCCAGCACGGTATCCATCAGCACGTCGTATTCCTTGACTGTAGTTACCGTGTCGGACCTTGCAATACCATCAGAGATTCGTGTTTACAGCGGACGTACTGTAAGCATACCCCTCGACAATGCCACTGTTGTATATCATCTAATCAGGCTGTCATGAGTTCTTTGTGAAACGTAAGCGTCCACGGACACCGTTTATGCATGCGAGAACCATCGTCTCCTCCACTCGCCCTCCCTATCCCATAATTACGTAGGTTGTCTCAGGCCAGAGGTTCTTGTGTGTGACGCGGGAGAAGGAGGAAGAAGAGAACGAAGAACAGAAGGAAGAAGAGGAAGAAGAGGAAGAGAGAGAAGACAACGGCGGCGTTGGCTTCGGTGACATCGGCGACTGGATGTGGGGGGATGACCTCGAAAGATGGTTGTACAACCTCGAGGCCTCCTCCTCCGCCGCCGCCGCTGATAACGACAACGACGACGACAACGACGGCAACGACGACGACAACGACGACGGCAACGACGACGGCAACGACGACGACAACGACGGCAACGACGACAACAACGACGACGACAACGACGACAACGACGACAACGACAACGACGACGGCAATGACAACGACAACGGCAATGACAATGACAACGGCAGCGACAGGGGCAATGGCGACGAGGACGACGTGGCCGCCGCCGCCGCCGCCGCCGCCGACGCGGC